TCAAGAGTTTATTTACTTGATATTTATACATACTTTGAGACCAGCAAAGATTTGTTTTGTGTGCTTCCGTGTCTCTTGATTAACTAAGCTTATTATGGAATATTTGTACTCTTCTCATGCCAAAGTACATCAATGGAAGTGTTCACCAGCATATAGTATATGTTCTTGGTTCCTCCATGGTCACATCTCCCTTTATTTGATTCCATTTCCATTCCATTCTCCAAAAGAGTGGATCATAAATAAAACCACTGGCACAATTTGATTTCCCAATTTGATATGGCTTCTCCTGAAGTGGTTGGTGGGTCATAGGATGTGAACTGCAGAGCAATCACAGGTTAGTTTAGTGGAGATGGAGGTGTCATGCACCAATTCTTATCAGTGCTGACAATATTATACTATCATCAGAAAGGGAAGTGCCATGCACCCAAAGCAAGCGCATAGAGTAGGTAATTATTGTTCTGGCTGTGGGTTAGGCACAGAACACAGGAATTAGGCCCAAAAATCTGGGCATAAGCGTCACCAGGGATAAGCTTTGATTATCTGCTCATTATCCTAATGTTGCCAATGTTGATTTTTTCCTTTGACAAGAGCATTTTCTTCTAGAACACTGGACCTGGGGCATCCCTTTTCCTTGTTTGTTTTTTGTTCTCCTGTTGGTTAGAATATAGATGATGAAACAAGTGTTGATGTCCATGCTGTCTCTTGTTTATTTTTGTATGCGGGTGCAGCTGTTGTGTTCACAATTATTGAAGCTGTATTCATTTCCTAGCCATGCCCAAGCATTGTTCTTGCAGTTGGGGCAGATTTTGGACTATCCTAACTCTACAAATGCGCATCCAGATGTCTGGGCTATTAACAACGTAATCTCCAGCAGCATCTCTCTGGTGGTGCTGCTTATATTTATTTGTTCATCCTATAGCATTTTTCTATCAGTGGGCTTGCTTATTTTGACATTGCACTTGTACTATAACATTCCTGTTAAATTTAGATCATTTTAGATAACTTATTGTATGGATTCCCTATCCAAGTTAGAGCATCTACAATCCGACTTGCCAAATTTGGCACCCTATACGACCCCCTCATATCCAAATCCCCAAATGCATGCAACCCCATGCAACGTGGTGCATAGCAAGTTCACAAAAGATCGGACCTAACTAGTTCATTGAATGACTACCATAAATAAAAGATAGATGATGAGGCGCCGAACTTCACCACTTCCTTGCCGGTCCCTTCCCCTCGGGCTCTCCGGAGCGGCGGTAGTACACCTCGGTGTAGGCGTCTACGGCCAGAAAGGCGTTGTTGTCGTCGGTTGTGGTGCCACCGCCGGCAAAGGAGGATGAGGATGAGGAGGGGAGGTTGGCCAGGCACCGAGCGGCGCGGGCCTACTCCTTGGCGAGGCAATGAGCTTTCGGCTCGCTGAACGTCTTCTGCCACGCGAGCCGCTTAGACTCCTTGATGGCTAGCCACAATGCCTTGGCATTTTTGCGACGACGACGGTGGTGCTGGCAGTCGTCTGTCTCCGTCGAGGTCAAGGACCGGCGAATGAGACATGGAGGAGGTGGTTTTCCGAGTCAACGGGCAGTCGGACTAGTTAGATTTGGCTTGTGCCGCCCTCTGCCTTGCTTGGCGAGTGGCCTACGCCTCCTACTCAGGGAGCTGCAGGCTTGCCACCCAAAGTCGTCTTGGAGGAGGATGGCTAGAGGTGTCCGGCACCACTGCTCGCCCTCTCACCTCACCAGGCGAGAGAGGGCTTGAACCTCCCCGGGCCATGGTGGCGCGGGGAGGTGAGCGGAGTGTGGAAGGGGAGTAGAGCGGTCGAGAGTTTAGGCTAGCATTTTGTCCATGTGGGAATGGGGTGGGCCAACATGTGCGGGTTCTTCGTGGCGGCCATGTCCGGGCGTGTGCGGGCCTCCTCATGCTTGCTTTTCCTCATCGAGGGGTCCTATTGAGTGTGGTTTATTGGTCCGGCCAGCGTCCAGGCTGTCCGCCCAATCAAATAGGGGGAGGGGGTGGTGGGGTGTTAGAGTAGGGGGTTCGGAAGTGGATGTTCTTGCAAAATGGATATGCTTTGAGGTTTGGAACATATGAAATGAAAGGTGAGAGGGCAATCACTGAATGACAAAATTTATCTTCATATAGCTTCATTTATCTCGCTGAATAATATTCTTGCTACAGTTTTTTTCCACACCGATCTATATCAGGAGTTTATTAGTACTCTCTCCATTTGTTTTTATAAGACGTTTCAGACAGCTTGCTTTGTACTATTTTGAACAGTGTCTGAATGTCTAAAATGTCTTATAATATATTAAAAGTGAACAGAGGCAGTAGTTGTTTTATTTTATAATTCTTGTGTACTTGCTTGTATTCTACTCGACTTCTATATATTATGTTTTCTTTCTTCGTTTCTGCCAATTTACACGAATGCGTCCTAGCTAATTATAGGAGGAAGAGAGAGGGGAAGAAGAGATGCATCTGAAAGGTGGGGCCTTGGGCCAGCTCAGTGAATTATCCACATAGGCAGGCCACGTCAGCCCGACAGATGGGACCAACTTGTCAGTTTCGCTGTTTTCGCAGGCAAATAAGACAATCAGTGCTCCGCGTTACGCATTAGGCTCATTTTTGATGGTTTTTTGTGACATGGTTCAAATGTGGTACTGACCTGTTACTCTAGCCCCAACTATGATGGTTTTGGTTAAATAACTCACGGAGGTAGTAGTTGTTTTCTTGCTTCGTATCTGCCAATTTACACGAATGCGTCCTAGCTAATTTATTTCCTTCACCCATTTGAGGCTGCAATTTACAGTGTAACCAGATGGGCAACACGCTGTTTACCTACTACTTAATGATTGAGCCAACCTACATAATTAAAGCATCCATGTAACCTGTAAGATTTCTCCAGACCATGCTTGCTTAAGGCCTTAGCAAGGATGCAGTCAAACCATTGTCTGCAAGACTAATCCAGTTGCTTGGCTAACATGCCCAAACGATAAACAACCGATTAAACTAAAAACATGTTTGCGTCACAAGGAGGTTTGATTACGGCTGTCTGCAATTTGGTCTCCTTTTCCATGTGAGACATTCAAACCTCCCTCTGAAAGCAACCCTAATCTTAGTTTTAATCGGTTCGACGAACGGCGACAAATCCTGTTCCAGATAGGTTTCAGATCGTCACATCCAAACCAGCCCCAGGAGTAGTTATCTCATAAAAAACCCTGATTAAGAAATGGTAGAGCACCTTTCCTCCTTCTCCCATGGGTTAGATAGAAAACTGGACCTCTCCTGCTCACCGGCCTGATCATAGGGGCATCGCCATTGTCGCCGACGTCGACGTGGTGATGACCTTTCTTTTCTTATAGGGATGGCCACATCATTGACCTCATCTCCGCGGAAACTTTCCGGCAAATCGTTTTCTGGGTTTTGGTTCTTGTGGCGGCGGAGGAAAATTCAGAGCGTCCCACCTCCCTGAAAGTTCCCCCGGCATCTTCTTATCAGGATGCTGTTCGTTGAACCTTGATCTGTTCCGATCCACGGAGTCTCCGATAAATCTCGCAGGATCAGGAAATGGTTAAGTTATGTTACCTGATCAGGACTCGGTTTAGTCTTTAGTGCAGTGAGCAGTAAGCACCATGGGACAAGGTTCACACAAGGAGAGATTATGTCAACTAACTCATAATATATTGTTAGGTTGTTCATTCAGGGGCTACTAGTACATACATGGAGCTGAAATAGGGAGGAAAAACATGTACAGTTTCACACTAGCATGGCTGTATGGAGAGGAGCAGCCTTCAGGTTCTTGAGACTTTCAGGGTCAAGGATCACTGAACATATATATATCTCCAACTTGGATATTCACTTAATGTTGTTGGCATCATCGTCATCATCAGCTTCTTTAACAAGAGAGTTTTCGCATCCGGAGCCGCCGACAGCTTCATCTTGTTCACTATTCTGAAGATTTTGGCTGCTTCTTGTAGATGGAAGAGCAGAAAGGGTAACCATGTACAGTTATTCAGACCAGAGTTAGCTGCACCAGCTCAGCTGTTTGCTCCCATATGAGCTGATCAAGGATCTCTGACGCCATCTCCGCTGCAATGTTGCCATTATCCATGGTTTGCCACTGCATGCCGCATATATCTTGCTCAACCATCCTGCAGATGATTCGCCAAATGCCGGTCGCATCCCGGCCGGTAGCCTCTGCCTTGTTCACCACTCTCCTGTCCCTCCTATCCCTGTCTGAACATTTCAAGACACAGGAGGAGGAGCTCGCCGCTGCTGGGCGTGGGTTGCCACCGAAATTGTCGGAATCGGCTTGCAGTAGCTTCCTCCTTGTTCTCTGCTGCTGCTGGCTCGGCGCCAGCAGGGTTTCGCCTCCATCTGGTACATTCAGTGACAATGATGCCTCATCAGTACATGAACAAACAAACTGATTAACAGGTACTCAGCAGTACACGGCAGGGTTAAGTGAACTGGTTGGTGCATAAAACTGAACAGTAGAGTTTTCAGACACAAATTGATCGATGATCACTCGATTATCGGCGTTTTTTTTTTGTTTGCACGGTGTGTCTGAAAAATGAGTTTGGTGACCAAAGTGACTCTTAGCTACAGTATGTGAATCTAGAGGCCTAAGTGATGTGTTGCAATCAGAGAGCTGGTTCCAGATCTTGTGCAGTTAGCAGATGGACATGGACAGAATGATTAAGGCCCAAGAAGACGAGGTCACAGGGCTTAGACTAAATCTGGTTAAGACACTTGGATTGGAATAGGTTACTTGCATAACCAAGCTTCAAACTTTGACCACCAAACTGTGCTTGATGCAATTATGGATGCAGCAAACTGAAGAACGGATATTTTTCCTGGATCGCTCCTTTTAGTTTTGTCTTTACGGGTAAATTTATTCACTATCTTCTACTAGTAGTACATAGGGACTATTGACAATACTCTCTCACTCAACAGAAAACTCCATCGACCCCGCGTCGCCCCACTCGGGCGATCCTAGCCGCCGACGGGGCCTAACTCATCTTCCTCCCTTCCTTCCGCCGCCGCCGGCCTGCGCCCGAAGGCCGACGGCAGTGGCGGGGCCCTTCCTCCCGCCCGCATCTCAGGGGTTTTGGGAACGCGCGTGGAGGTGCGGCCGATCTAGAAGCGGTGGCGATGGCTTCGACAACGACGGCGGTGGTCGACCCTGCCTCGGGCCACGAGCAGTGGTGCGATGCGGTCTTCGGTGGCACGTCATCTGGCTTCTCTGGCAGATCTAGGTGGACTGCTCGGCGACACCTCTGGCAGATCTGTTCTGGCCGGTGTAGCCAATGGTGGTGGTCATCTTCTTCGTCGGAGGTGGCCGGCCAGAGGCTTGGTGATTGGATATCGAGATCCATCATATAGTCCCGGCTGCGAGTTGGGGAGACATGGTTGCCGGTGAAAACCGAGCCGACGGCAAGCGATAGCAGCGTTCCATGTCGTTACCTTGATGAAGACATCGTCGTGTAACTACTATCGACCCACTCTTGCTGCTCTGGGGGAAACCCTAGGATCTGGTATTCCAGATCGGACGATGGCGGCACTGCGGTGTTGTTTCTCTCTTGGGAGCATCGTTTGTGGAGCAGCGCTGGAAGTCAGAGGCAGGAGGTGGAGCGGCTTCGTCTTGCACGGAGTTTCGGTGGAGATGTCAAGTCATGCCTGACCGACAGGTGCCACGCTTTGTCATGCCTGGTCGACAGGTGCTACGCACGACAGATCTTCCAACGACTTCAAGCTGTGCCGGCTGGTGGTACTTGGCAGCAAGGTGCTGAGGTGTATCGGTGGCGATTGCGACGTGCTCAGCTGTTTGCGCGCAGGGAGGTGGTGCCGTTGGGCGCCGTGGTGGCGTCGACGACAGCTAGACCGAGCAAGGTTGATGCGTCAGTACATCTCTGAAGATAGAGAGGTGGCAGTTGGCGGCGGTGGCCTCTAAGAGCGCGCCGGACCGGTGTGTGCCCCAGACCCGGCAAGTGTCTAGGTTGGGGCCTCAGGTCTTCGATGTTAGGCTTTGCTTATTGGTCTATGGTATTAGTCACGGACTATCAGCATCCCTTCATCAACTGGATAGGAGTAGCAACAGATGTTGCCTAGACGGTGGCTTCAGAATTACTGTTGTATTTTTTTGTAAGGTCTTTTGTGAATAATTAATAAAGTGGCTGCATGCATCGCCCAGATGCAGAGGCCGGGGGTCTTCCTCCTTTTCTAAAAAAAAACTAGTAGTACATAAATTCTCAGAAACTATGACTTTTAGCTGGTGCCTTATCAGTAAATAAGTGAGGAAATGGCCTGTCACTGCTAAATTATGGCCTTTTATTATAGTCACTGTGCTATAATTCAGATGGGCCACATGGTGATTGCAAATTCAACCCCCTTTTTTTTTCATGAAGGTTCCAAGTGCATCTAACTGTCCCAGCCTCCCACAGTGGTGTGTTACAATCTGCACCAGAGCTTGTGCAGTTTACAGAGTTGACAGGGACAAGGGATCAGGGCACGAGGAAGTAAGTGATCAGTAAATAAGTGAGGAAATGGCCTGTCGCTGTTAAACTTTGGCCGATGGGGCACATGATACTTGCAAATTCAACTCTCCTTATTTTTTTCTGAAGGTTTATGTGCATCTAACTGTCCCCGTGATGTGTTACAATCTGCACCAGAGCTTGTGCAGCTTGCAGAGTTGACAGGGACAAATGATCAGGGCACAAGAAGACCAAGTTACAGAAGCTCAGAACACTAGCCCAAGACTTTTGGACACCAGGTACTGTGCACTTGCTGACTTACATAACCAAGCATTATATACAAGGACCACAAACTTGTCCCTGTTGGAACTGTTGATGCCCAAAATTTGAAAGAAATGCTTTTCCAGGAAATCGATTTATTGTTTGTATATAAACTCTGAGAAACAATCACTTGCTGTTGGTCCCTTTGTTGCAAACAGGCGGGGAAATGAGCTGTTGTTCTCATGAAATTAGCAGTGCAGTCGCCTGAACTTTCATAGTGCACTGGTGTACTATTTGATTCCAGCTGATTTTTCTTCTTCTTCTGAAGTTAGGTTTTTTTCCTTCTAAAAGTGAATTCCACTCCAATTTTAACTGATGTCTCTCTTTTTTCCCCCTCCGAAGGTGATTTTTCTCTTTTTTTTCTTTTCTGAAGGCGAATGTCAGTCTAATTTTTCTTTTCAATTATTCCACTCTAATTTTAACTGATATCTTTCTTCTTCTTTTTTTTCCTCTGAAGGTGATAATTTTTTCTTTCCGAAAGTGAATGCCACCCTGAATTTAATTTGTACTGGCCTCGCTGAACTTGTGCTGTGAAGTAAGCAACTGAAGAAGCATTAATGGGCAGGAGGAGACGACGACAAACCTGAGCACGGCGAGCACGGCTCTGCATGCTCCATTTCTTCCACTGAAGATGACGAAGTGGTCGTGGTCGTCGACGACTCCTCTTGCCCGTCTCCCGCCTCCAGCACCGACACCGGGCTCGAGTTCTCCAGGCCGCATGCCGCGGCCGGCCTCCTGCTCCGGGCATGCTCCGACTCGGCCTCCTCGTCGCCGCGCCGCCGCCGGCGCGGGAGCCTCCGGCGCCCCCGCCTCTGTTTCTTGGCCCCGTCGCCGTCCACCGTCCTCTTGCCGCGCCTGCTCTCCGCGTCGTCGTCGCTTCTGGGCCACCCCGCCGCGTCGCGGTCGTCGCTGCCGTCGTCGTCCGGGCTGAAGCTGAGGAGCAGGAACTCGTCGTTCTCCCGCCTCAGGTACGTGGGCCTGTCCCGGAAGGACGCGGACGTGGTCCTGGCCACCCTGCGCCGCGGCGCGTCGCCGAAGCAGCACGGCGTGGGCGACGACCAGCCCTCGGCCGAGCTCGCGGAGCGGCTCCGGCGCAGCGTCTGCTGCTGGTCGCGCGCCGGCGTCGGCATCGCGTCGAGGCCCATCAGCCTGGCCACAATGCAGGGGCTCCTGGCCGTCGCCCCCTCCTCCTCCTCCTTCCGCGCCGCGGCACCGTCGCCGCGCCGTAGGGCGGCGACGTCGGCACGGACGGTGTTGGCGTTGCCCCCGCCTGCCGCATTGCCGGCGGTGTGCGCGCAGAGGAGGCGGCGCAGGAGGTCGAGAGCGAAGGAGGACTGCGCGAGCTTGGCCATGCGAGCTTGAGTGAGGGAGGCAGTCACAGCTCGCCGGTGCTAGGCATGGAGTCGGATGTAGAGAGAGAGAGAGAGGGGAGAGGGGAGAGGAGAGGGGAATGTCGGTTCCTGTTTCGAATTGCGGGTGGAGGGAAGGATTAATGGAAGCTACCATGGGCTCAGTGGCATAAATGCTTGGCATTCATTACTCGACTGTTTTACTCCTGCATTTTACTGACTGCATTTTTTACCACTTTTGTGTAACGGGAAAGGTTGCAGGCGTGAAAAAAATCGCTACCGCTCCACAGTTTCACCGCCATACTAGGCCGTAGTAGCTCCCAGCCGCTGCTGTCTCATACCAGGTGTCTGCCATGAGTGTGCTAGTAGGCCGTATTGTTTCCTGAATTTTCGAAACGATGGATGCGTTCCCTTCTTTGGTTGCACGCTCAGTGCAATCTTTCGTTGAAGAAGAATGTGGAGCAGTTGGATTGGAGCTTGCGATGAGAGAGATGCAAGCTCCCGACTGCGTAACTTGGGCGCTAAACCTACAAATTCGAAATTTGAAAACGCTACTTAGTTCAAAGAGGACAGGACCGAATTAACAAGCGAGGTTAATTAGGAGGCAAAAAAAAAAGCGTACGTACTAGTATGTCCGGCCAAGGAAAAGTTGGGGGCAGGTGTGAAACGGGCGAACGGGGAACGGGCACGAAGGAAGCAGAGGAGAGGACAGACACGCTGCCGGCGGGCTCGGCGTTTGAAACGGGGAGTACGTAACGTACTAGTACTTCTTACAACTACGCGACAGCGAACGGCAATCGCCATTTGCTCTGTCGTGTGGGACGGAGACAGGGCGCGGCCTGGGCCCTGGCGGGCCAGCGTTGGGGCCTCGGGGCCCGGGACCGGCCGGCGTCTTCCGCCTCTTCGGCGCAGCTTCCTGCCGCGGCGAGCGAGGCGAGACGGGTGGGACTGGATTGGATTGATGGGGTCAAGTCGCCCACTGGGCAGTGCCAGTGCGGCAGCAGCATAGGTCTGAACAGCGACGCTGGTTCTACTGCTGACACTGCCAGTGGCTGCTGCCTGCTCCGGTCCGGTCATCTCGCCGGGCTGCCCGTCGGTTCTACCGAGGTCTTTATTAAGAGGTAATAGCACCCCAGGTACCCTAACTTGTACACAATGTGATGATCTAGTCCCAAAGTTGTAAAACTAGATCAACCCATACCCCAACTTGCATCCAATGTGATGATTTAGTCCCAGGCCAATCAGAGCTCGCCAATTGGCTGGGCCGGTCAGCGCTGGCAGTTTTGCACAAACCCCCCTGCTGTTTCTCTGATTCAACCCGCAGTTACCCCCCACCTGAATTAAATCTGTCACACGCTCAGCGTTGGCCGGAACCGCACCCGGCGCCGGCGAGAGCTTCCAGCTGCAACCCGGGTGAAAAGCCGGCGTGACGAGGGGCACAAAAAAGATGCGCCCTTTGTTGTGCTGTTTCCGTAGGTTGCAAGTGGGGAAGAAGGAGCGGCGAGCGTTAAATCGACGGGACGGCACGGCACGGCTGTGTGGGCGGGTCCGGTGGAATTGGTGCGAGGAACGGAGGAGAAGGCTGTGGCTTGGGTCGAAATCGACGGAGACGAGTCCTCCAAGGCTCCAACTGAGCGGAGCGGGAGGAGAGAAGCTGGATTTGGTTGCCGTAGCGGCGATGGGGATGGCCGGCGAAGAACAAGCCCCACCTCCAAGCGCGAGCGCTTGCACGCACGCATGGTGCTCTGCTCCTTGTACTCCGAAGGCGAGAGAGGGCACCTCCGAAGGCGAAGGCTGCGACGAGATGGAGGGGAGCGCGCGACACCCGGCACCGGCAGGCACCATTGTTGAAGGAGCGCTTAATGCATCGTGAGGAAGAGAAAAGAAACAGAGAGCAGAGAGCAGAGCTTGGTCGTCTCTTGTCCCCTTGCCATCTCTGCTGGATCCCCGCCCCACCCAACCAGCGCCGTCCGTCGGCCAGCGGAAGATGATTTCTTATGCACCAGACGTCGTGGATGGCCGGCCGGCCGACCGGGGTCAAGTAAAGTGGCCTATGTTGGCACCGGAGACGGGAGGGAGAGGAGGATGGCGCGTCGGTTGGTGTTGAGATTCGGCCTGAGCACAAGAGCGGCGGCGAGGGATTTCTGCAGGGAGCGGAGGATGGTGGTCGTGCGCACGAGATTGGGGTGGCCGGAACCGCGATGCCCTGGATGCCGACGGTGGCGCACTTGGAGGTGGCGCCGCTGTAGCCCATCACGGTGAGGATGGTGACGTAGAGGAAGAGGAAGGTGGCCATGAACTCGGCGATGCCGGCGCGGTAGAAGGACCAGGACTTGAGCTCGCCGGGCTCGAACAGCGGCGCCGGCGGGGGCTCCTTGTAGTCCTTGTCCTCGGACCCTTGCGCCGCCGTGCCGATGGGCTGACGCTCCGAGTACTTGTTCGCCCCAAGCCGCACGTCCTCCTCCTTGCCCTCCATCGCTGCTGCAGGACCGGACGTGAAGTGGATTCCTCTGACAGATTTAATTCAGGTGGGGTAACTACGGGTTGATTCAGGGAAACAGCAGGGGGTTTTGTGCAAAACTGCCAGCGCTGATCGGCCCAGCCACTTGGCAGCCAATTGGCGAGCTCTGATTGGCCTGGGACTAAATCATCACATTGGATGCAAGTTGGGGTATGGGTTGGTCTAGTTTTGCAATTTTGGGACTAGATCATCACATTGTGTGCAAGTTAGGGTACCTGGGGTGCTATTACCTCCTTTATTAATTACAGCAATCGTCGCCTCCGCATATACAGTGGATTTGTTTTTTTAAACAAGCCAAAATATTTGTCATTTTCATTGATTAAGTAGGAGAGACAGGACGAAAACCTAGATTACAACCCCACGGGACACACACGGCCGACCTGGCCAAAAACGCCAAACAATCGACCCAAGCGTCAAGGACATGGCAGCTCCGATTTTGCTGCAGAGCTTCACATGAGAAAGTTGCACACCTTGCACCGACATAGTCCAACGCAACGTCCGGAGAGCAGCGCCCGCTGAAAAGCACCCTTATGGAGTCATCGTTGCTACAGTGGTACCGCCGACCGGAGCCCCGACTTCTTTGTCACAGCACGAAACCAACACCAACGCACCCATTGGCGCACCGGACCGTCGACATCGGAAGGGCAAGCCACGACCCAGCTCCGCTCGCTACCATCGTCGTCGCCACACGAGTCGCAGCGCCAAACCGCCCACATCGCCGGACGGACACCAGTCGACCACAATGTTGTGCACATCCAGCCCGCTGGAAGCACCAATGAAACCAAGATCTTCAAGACGGTGCCCTAAAGAGGGAAAACGAAGCTGAAGAAGACGACGACGCAACCCTGCAGCAGGATCTTGGCATTCGCCCGAAGATCTTGATCCGGAGTTGAGGATGCGTAGATCTCCCCGACTACGCATCGAAGGAGGATAACGACGCCCACAGACGTCGTCGCCGTCGCCGCCAGCCAGGCTTTCACCCGGAGTAGCACAACCACCATTGCCACGCTGTACCTCCACAGGTC